AGAGAGCTCTGAAAGAACTGCTCTCGAGAACAGCTTTGAGGACGGAGCAAATGATTTCTATAGACAAAGTCACAGAAAAAGAAAATATTATGAGTGCGGCGGTTAAGAGCAGCAAACTCTAATCTGGAGAACGGGGTCGGATTCCCCACTCCTCCGCCACGTGAAGCCTGCTGGGTGACCTTGGGCCAGTCAGTCAGTCCTCTCAGAAACCTCACCTGCCTCACAAGGTGCCTATTGTGGGGAGAGAAGGGGAAGGCGATTGTAAGCTGCTTTGAGATTCCTTGAGTTAGAGAAAAGTGGAGTTTAAAAACCTACTATTCTTCGTCCCTGGCAGCCAAACCAAACTGAATAGACCCAGTGTTTCCTCTGTGCCGACATGGAAATGGAGGTTTCTGCACCTTCCCCTTTTCCAGACATGTTGGCAGGAGACCATAGCTGGCCTCTCCTTGACGGAGGGCCCTCAAGTTTCCGAGCTCATGACTTTCTTCTAAAGGGGGAAGTTAAAAACAAACAAAGGGGGAATAGAAAAGCAGGTGGTGCTCAGGACTCACCTACTGCGTCAGCCTTTGCAGCCCAAACTCTGTCCTCACAGATTAAACACCAGCTCCGACCGCCATGCCCAGTTCAGAAGCTCCACTGGTAGAGCTCTAGGTATGGCTCTGCTGAGAACCCAAAGGAAGCAGCCCTAATTTAACAGGACTACCAAGACCAGGCCTGAAGAACCTTGATGTCTGTGGACCAACTGTGGGCTGATTCCTTCCTGCGGCTCTTTCTATCTGTGTGCGTATAAAGTGCGCCATCACATTGCCGCCAGTAAGGGGTTTGCAAGGCAAGCGTGAAGCAGAGGTGGTTTGCCACTGCCTTCTCGAGAGCCAGTTTGGTGTAGTGGTTTGGAGTACAGAGTCTAATCTGGGAGAACCGGGTTTGATTCCCCACGCCTCCACACGCAGCTGCTGGTAAGAACCTTGGGTCAGTCACAGTTCTCTCCGAGCTGTTCTGGAAAGAACGGTTCTCTCAGAGCTCTCTCAGTCCCACCTACCTCCCAAAGTGTCTGTCGTAGGGAGGGGAAGGAAAAGGAGATTGCAAGCTGCTCTGAGATTCCTTCGGGTAGCGAAGGGCGGGGGTATAAACCCAATCTCTTCTTCTCTTCTTCTGCAGAGTCTTTGTTTGAGGTTTCCCCTTCCAGGTACTGACCCTGCTTAGCTTCTGAGATTTGACAAGATTGGCCTTTACCAATGCCGCCTTCCCTCCCAGCCCTTCCAAATACCCACTTGTGATCTTCTCCGCCACCTTGTCAGAAGACACTACAGCAGGGGTCCCCATCCTTTTTTTTGGGTGGAAGGGGTTTGCAACTTTTTTGTTTGTGCGCATGTGTGTGCCCGTGCCTGGAGGCCAGGAGACTTCTGATGACTCCTACTGGGGCATGGAGGACATTGAGAAGTGGCTTGAAGGCCTGCCGTGGTGCCCGCAGGCACTGTGTTGGGGACACCTGCTTTAAGGTTTCCCCATGCCTTTCAAGAGTAGGCCAGGTATACCTTGACCTGGATAGCCCAGGCAAGCCCGATCTCGTCAGATCTCGGAAGCGAAGCAGGGTCGACTCTGGCAAGGGGTGGGAGACCTCAAAGGAATACCAGCAGTTGGGAGGCGGGGGCAGGCTTTATTCAGCCACTCCTCTGAATATCTTCCAGGCCCCCAGTAGGGGTCAGTCACCAGATGTTGCTGTGCCTTCCAGGTGCGCACACAGTCAGTCACCAGAGGTCACCATGACTTCCAGGTGCATGCACACACGAAAAATACCGAAAAAAGTAGGTCAGGTGACCAAGGTGTGGGTGGCCAGAAAGACCTATGGGGTGTGAATGAAGCCAAAGGAGTGCTACTAGTGGTTCAGTGTATTTGAGAAGTGGTAATACTATCTCTCTCTCTCTCTAATTCACCGGGTGCCAGCTAACCTCCCCCGCCCCCTGCCATTTCAGGAGGCGACAGATGGATCTCATCTGATGCCTCTATAAACACAGATCCATACTACACACTCTCTCCCACACACGCCTTCTATTGCAGTATCACATGTATGCACATACACACACACACACGACTCCATTCACGCATTCATTGGAACACAACAATTGAGATCTCACAGACGTCACTAGAAATGAGCCCGAGACGGCTGAAGACCGTCAGGATTCTGGGCTGGCACTGCAACTAAGACTCTTTATTGGCGTTTGAGTAATTCCAAAATTCCAGCTTCAGGAGCTCAGAGAAATTTCATTAAGCGGCTATGTTGTTAGTCGCGTCAAACGATGGCAAACGGTGTGTGGGGCGGGGAGTTATTTAAGGACACGGGATGCAAAACTCAAACAGGGGAGGGGGGGGAAAAGGATGTTTGCTTGTCAAACAGCTTCATGTTTGTTTGTTTGTTTGGGGGGGGAGGGAAAACTACGCCTGGAGGTTGGCCCATTCTAAGAGTAGTACGTTAACTACGAAAGGATTTCAAAGCACTCTCCAAGCAGATCCAAAACCAATGAAGTCACCATTCGGAATCCGGTTCTTCCCATCTTGGGGACTTCGCCACCCCAAGTGCAAAGACGCCGCCTCTCAACAAACGGCGTAGCGGACAAGCCGCGAGCCCCGGATCTCCCGCACTCTCTGGCAGTGGCGCAAGATGGTCAGGATGCCGTGGAAACGCTTGTCGGCCTTCAGCTGCGTGAACTCTTCGATGTCCGCCTCCACGATGAAGAACTCGCCTGCAAAACACAAGATTTCCTTTGGATGTCGAGAACCAGTATTTTTTTAAAGTCCAAACATTCTTTGTGCCACGGACGTATAACAGATGTCCGCTGGGGTCCGGACCACGTTCGCTGCTCTGTCCTCACTGAAGAATCCCAAAAACTGACATTTCAGGGCAGTGCAGAGAAACGAAATCCCCACGACAGAATCCTCACAGAACTAGGCTCAGGCGGGTAGCTGTGTGGGTCTGCCGTAGAAGGAACAAGATTCGAGTCCAGTAGCAGCTTAAAGACCAACAAGATTTCCAAGGTGTACGCTTTGACTCTTGAAAGCTCACACCAGGGGCGGTTCCAGGATTCAGAGAGCCGGTGTGGTGTAGTGATTAAGAGCGGTGGACTCTAATCTGGAGAACTGGGTTTGATTCCCCCACTCCTCCACATGAAGCCAGCTGGGTGACCTTGGGTCAGTCACAGCTCTCTCAGCCCTACTATCTCACAAGGTGTCTGTTGTGGGGAGAGGAAGGGAAGGCGATTGTAAGCTGCTCTGAGACTCCTTTGGGTAATGAAGAGCGGGGTATAAAACCAACTCTTCTTCTTCTTCTTCTTCAACGGGCCCAGAGCCCCTCTCCCCTCCTCAGCTTGCCATAATCTCCCCCCACTCACACCTTTTACCCATCTTGTGTTCTTCACCTCCACTGCCTAGCCATCTGTCCTTCTCCTACCCACTTGCTCATTTTCCAGTCGTCCACCTGAAGCCTGCTGGGTGACCTTGGGCCAGTCCCAGTCCTCTCAGGACTCTCTCAGCCCCACCTGCCTCACAAGGTGTCTGCTGTGGGGAGAGGAAGGGAAGGCGATGGTCAGCCGCTTTGAGACATCTGAGGCCTGCTGGATGACCCTGGACCAGTCCCAGTCCTCTCAGGACTCTCTCAGCCCCACCTGCCTCACAAGGTGTCTGCTGTGGGGAGAGGAAGGGAAGGCGATGGTCAGCCGCTTTGAGACATCTGAGGCCTGCTGGATGACCCTGGACCAGTCCCAGTCCTCTCAGGACTCTCTCAGCCCCACCTGCCTCACAAGGTGTCTGCTGTGGGGAGAGGAAGGGAAGGCGATGGTCAGCCGCTTTGAGACATCTGAGGCCTGCTGGATGACCCTGGACCAGTCCCAGTCCTCTCAGGACTCTCTCAGCCCCACCTACCTCAGAAGGTGCCTGCTGTGCGGAGGGGAAGCGAAGGAGAGATTGTAAGCCACTTTGAGACACATGAGAAACACAGAGAGAAACAGAATAGAACCAGGAAAACCACGTAGGGGAAAGACCTGGGTGGGGCACAAACAGATAGGGGAAGAACAAGCAGGCTGGCCCCACAAGCCGCACCAAGCGTGTCCGCTAAACCGTGCCATTGTGACAGGCCGCGATGGCCATGGGAGAGAATCGCTCCGCTCCTTCCATCCAAAGCCTCCCTTCTGTCACTGAATTTCCATTTTAAGCCCACTCACAGACGGGAGGGCAAAACGAAGCAAAAAGCTATTTATAAGGAAGCCTTGAACACTATTTTACGTGCCGAGAGGAAAACAAAGCTTCCCTCCCCGGCGACAGAACTGGCGATATTTTTTAAAAATATATCCACCGCTCTGCAGAGAGGTTCTCCATCTGTTGCCACGTGAGCTCCTGAGCAAAGCAGGAATCAACAACCTTCCAGCCACAGCCCGAAATTGCCAGTTTGGTGTAGTGGTTAAAAGTGGCAGACTCTATATGTTGTCGAAGGCTTTCACGGCCGGAGTTCATTAGATGTTGTAGATTTTCCGGGCTGTATGGTCTTGGCACTGTGATACCTGACATTTCGCCAGCAGCTGTGACTGGCATCCTCAGAGGTATAACACAGAAAGATGGAGTACTCTCTGTGTCAAGGTGAGAAGAAAAATGGTAGGCAGGCAATTTATATCTACTCAGGAAGGTGGAGTAGGGCTGAGTCATTATCTTGTAGGAGTTCCCCAGGTTGTGAACAGGCTAATGGAGGAGCTTTCCTGACGAGGTTCTTTTTGACTGTTGAAATTCTAATTTTATTTGTAGTCCCTATTGTAAAATGTAGAGCATTTTGTGTTTTTCAGGACAGGAAACCATGCCCTATTTATTTTTAAACTCTCTTCTTTCCTGTTGAAATTGTGTTTATGTTTATGAATTTCAATGGCTTCCCTGTGAAATTTGACATGGTAATTGGATGTGTTGTCCAGTCTTTCAGTGCCCTGGAATAAGACACTGTGTCCTGTTTGAGTTAAGCTATGTTCAGCCAATGCTGATTTTTCAAGTTGGCCGAGTCTGCAGTGGCGGACTCTAATCTGGGGGAACCAGGTTTGATTCCCCACTCCCCCACATGCAGCCAGATGGGTGACTTTGGGTCAGTCACAAGTTCCCTCAGAGCTAAAATGTGAAGACTTAAAAGACACATTATTCAGTTTTGATAATTATTAAAAGTAGAACCATTATGGAGATTGTAGAAATGAGGAGCAAGAAAGACGGAGTGGACATAAGTGTTACCTAGTGAAATATTAGAAGATTAAATGGAAGTTGAAATTAGAAATAAGAAACGCAGGAGGTCGAAGCACTGTGGGAAGCCATCTATAGGGGAGGGAAATGGGAGGGGGAAGGATGTAACGAGGGTAAAATAGATATGGGACATTAGTTTTATTGTTGAACAGATGATGGATACTAAAATGTTATATTGGTTGACTTGATGTTATATCCAAATAAAGTTGTTGTTTTTTTAAAAAACAAACAAACACAAGTTCCCTCAGAGCTGTTCTCTCAAGGGCAGTCCTTGAAAGAGCTCTCTCAGACTCACCTACCTCACAGGGTATCTGTTGTGGGGAGGGGAAGGGAAAGGAGATTGTAAACTGCTCTGAGTCTCCAAGTGAAAGGCGGGGTATAAATCCAATCTCCTCTTCTTCTACTTCTACTTATGAGGGCAATATAGAGACCCACTAACATCCCACCAATGTTGTGCAATCCTTCAACAGTCTATCTGGTTGGGTTCTCGTAGCTCCCCTGGGCTGGGGATTCTGCGCTGTTCTTTCAAGCGCAGAGCCAAGAAGGCAGACACTTCCCCTTTTGAGGATCCAACAGCTCCAGGAAATCATGGCTGCAGGCCTGGAAACACTAGTCTAGGGGTCCCCAACGTGGTGACCGTGGGCACCATGGTTCCCCCAACACCTTTCCTGGCATCCACCAAACGCTTTTACTAAGTGGGTGGAGCCAGGCGGGGCTTTTGCCCAGCAAGTCTTCTGACTGGCCACTGGAGATTTGATTGGCTGTGCAGATTTTTTTTTTAAAAAAGGATGCTTTGGCAGGTGCTGCTGCCGTAGCCAAAGGATCTTCACCGTGTGACTGCAGGTAAGCTGCAGCGGCCCTTTCATGGATGATTCTGCCTCCTGTGGCAGCTCTTTTGTGGCAGCCATTTTGTGGCTACGCCCACCACAATGTGTCGGTATTCCAAAGGGGCCCGCAGCCTCAAAACGGTTGGGGACACCTGCCCTAGCTAAGGAGGAGTGGGGCTCTTGGGGGTGTAGTGGTTAAGTGCGCAGACTCTAATCTGGGAGAACCGGGTTCGATTCCCCACTCCTCCACATGCAGTTGCTGGTGTGACTTAGGGTCAGTCACAAGTTCCCTCAGAGCTGTTCTTTCAAGAGCAGTTCTCTCAGCCCCACCTACCTCACAGGGTGTCTGTTATGGGGAGGGGAAGGGAGAGGGATTGTAAGCCGCTCTGAGACCCCTTCAGGTAGTGAAGGACGGGGTATAAATCCAATCTCTTCTTCTTCTTCTAAAAAAGGGAGATTAAACACCCATTTCAAAGACGTACCTTTTGTGTCCTTAGTTTCTTCTTCCTGGAATCTGAAATAGAGATTCCTGACAGTACTGGACATAGATTTAGTGGGCTGGCGCATGATCTTGTACTTGCTGGCCACGGCCTTGTTGATTTCTTGAATCACGGCATTCACTTGATTGTACGACAGGCGACCTCGCATGTACCTTTGGGAAGGAGGAGGAGAGAGCGTTCACCATGACTTGGGAGGAACAACAATGTCAGCTCACAGAAAGACACCCAGACCTGTATCCCCACACGCACACGAATCTGAGAACTCTGCATGCAAGAGTACACACATGCGTGACATCTAGGGGTTAGGCATTTCTTGAGGGACGGCAACATTTCCTGTAGCTCTTGTAACCTGCGGAACTGGCTGGCTGCTTTGCCCTGCTGGAACGGCAAGCAGCTTGAGCTTGGCAAGGGAAACAGAAACATTCAGCAACTGTAACGCAGCAAGAGCTCTTCTGTTTCTATTTCACATGTGTGTGGGGGGAGTGATCCAGCCACTCCACACCAGCGGCTCTGTCTCCTGTTTCAAATCCAGTTCAAGAAACTGCTTTTCAACTGCAAACTCTTTTGGCCCTTCTCACTCATACCGTTCTACGTATTATATTATACAGCAGCAAACAAGGCATTGCCGAGTCTACACTTAGAAAAACAGGGTCATGGAATTTCCTGACAGCCACACCTGTACGAAACACCCATTTTCAGAAACCCACATGTTGCATTCGCATGGGTGGCTGTGTTGGTCCGAAGCAGCAAAACAAAGTTTGAGTCCAAGGGCACCTTTAAGACCAACAAAATTTTATTCTGGCTATAAGCTTTCGTGTGCTGGCACACTTCCTTCAGATTGCTGGTCTTAAAGGTGCCACTGGACACAAATTTTCGTTCTGCTGCATTTGCAGTTCACGTTTTTAGGCATCCTTACTTTAAAGCCGTAAACCACCCCCACCCGCCGATGTTACTTGCATGTAGTTTAAGATCTGGCCACATCGTCCTTGCCACTGTGAGCCAGGATTGCCAGCTCTGGGTTGGGAAATTCCTGGAGATCTGTGGGGGGCAAAACCTGGGAAGGGCAAAGTTCTGGGAGGAGATGGCACTCAGCAGTGGAGCAATGCCATAAAGTCCACCCACCAAAGCGGCCATTTTCTCCAGGGGAATGGATCCCTGTAATCTAGAGATCAATTCTAATCCCAGGAGAACTCCAGGCCCCACCTGGAGGTTGGCAACCCTACAGTGTGAGCACAGGCCTGGGCGTCCAGAACCAAGACTGACTGGGGGGACATCGGTGGCAAGTCAGAATCCAAAGGATAGTGCATTTATTCATTCATTCATTCATTCATTCAACTTTTATCCCGCCCTTCCGCTGAAGCGGCTCAGGGCGGCTCACAGCATTCATAAAACCAACACAGATAAAACATCAGTCCATAAAACAACTTTACATAAATACAATAAATATAAGTAAAAGCGGTTCGGTAAATCATTACAACTAGACATCGACCACATTGTTCACTACCTATACAGAACACATGTCTTAGCAGGTCGGCAGGCTTGGCTGGCATACCGTCGCTCTCACTGGTATGCCCGGCGGAAAAGCTCCGTCTCCACGGCCCTGCGGAATTGCTGGAGATCTCGCAGGGCCTGGATCTCGCTAGGGAGCTCGTTCCAATATGCTGGTGCAGCTAGCGAAAATGCTCTAGACCTAGTTGTTGTCAACCTGGCCTCTTTAGGGCCAGGAAGGGTCAGGCGATGTTGCGTCCCAGATCTCAGTGCTCTCTGGGGAACATACGGGGACATCAACATCATTTGAATAATAGTCCACTCGTTGATCAAATATGAAGAAAGGTATGCCCACATACCATCTTAAAATGTTTGCTTAACCTAACCTGAATAATATTGGCCAAGGATTCTTCATACCCAAACAAAGGTGTTTTTTTTCTGATATGAAGCTAAAATCCCTTTTGACCCAGACACTGCCATGTTTTACCATAAACAACTAAAAAAAGCTCAGTGAACGCTATACCTACCTTCTATACTAAAAGAACGTTATTTTCTTGTCTGCTAGCATCAGCTAGAAAGATACTCTAACCTACAAGGGAAAGGCCTACTATTTAATAAACTTTCATTACATCCTAATAAAATCTTACTTAAGAATACAATCTATAAAACCAGAAAAATATAGATAATCTGAAAGGAAAACTCATTAGAAGAAGAGGAGGAGGAGGAGATTGCATTTATACCTCGTCCTTCACGACCCAAAGGTGTCTCAGAGTGGCTTACAAACCCCTTTCCCTTCTCCTCCCCACAACAGACACCCTCTGAGGTGGGTGGGGCTGAGAGAGCTCTTGACAGCAACTGCTCTTTTTCAAGAACAGCTCTTATCAGAGCTACGGCTTGCCCAAGGTCATCCAGCAGGTGCGAGTGGAGGAGTGGGGAATCAAACCCAGTTCTCCCAGATTAGAGTCTGTGCACTTAACAACTACACCAAACGCCCATTCATACTATACGCCTTTCCCCGCATGTTCCCCCAAGAGCACTACAGTTGGTGACCCAAAATCTCCTGGACATTCCAGGCCCCAGGACCATCAAACTCGCTGTGACCAGGGCCAGGGGGTTTTCGGTGGCGGCTCCTACCTGGTGGAATGAGCTCCCAGAAGAGATACGGGCCCTGCGGGACCTTGGGCAGTTCCTACACGAATATGTCGTGTAAGATGTGCTTCTGTTTTTGAAAGTAAGGTTTCTTTCTCTTTTCAGTAAAATTTCCTTCTCTTGTAACCATTGGAGTCAGATCATCTTTGTAATTTGTTTGAACAGCAGGGGTCATTTCGTAGAAAAAGAGGTGCAGGAGCTCATTAGCACAACTCATTTGCATAACTCATTTGCATATGCCACACCCCCTGACATCACCGGAAGTGTGTCAGAAGGCAACACCCACCACTCAGGCTCCACTGGACTATTTTGGATTGCTAGCTATTGGGGGGGGGGCGTGCAGATCTGCCCTCACAGAGGAGGGAGAGCTTGTACCTGAAGGTGGGATGGGGGAGGGCCTCTGCAACTTACCTGGCTGCTTCTTTCTCCTTGAGGCCCGACTGAGGGCTGCTGGGAGCAGGGGGCAAGGCTTGTTGCATGTGCCTGCCTCCTGGGCTCCTCACTGCCAGAGCTCCGCTCCTGTGCGCTCCCACAGGAAATGACCCCTGTTGAACAGCATTTTCCCCTTAACCAGAAAACATGGAAGATAGGGGATACTGAATAAAATCTTCCAACTTTGTATGGAAATGGGTTCCCTTTCATGGAATTTCTCTCTGCATCAGATCTACAACCTCGTAGTCCTGCACATCTAGCTTTGTTCTACCACCAATACTTATCACAACATTTAGTTTACAATGCCTAGTTGTGTTAATGCTAAATCTCGATCAAAATAAATCAGAATAATTACCTTCTAGCCTTAGTTCTCTAGTCATCCTCTTGGATAAATCAAAACGCTTGTTATACTGCTTATCGTAGTTGTTAAAATTGATTCTTAGTACCATTAATGCAACTATGCTGTTGATGTATTTTCAATGTTATTCAATCTTTTTTGTACACTGTTACTGAAATCTGTTTATTATTGAAAAATTAATAAAAATAATTAAAAAATAAAGCTTCTGTGCTTCCAAGTCAAATGATTTTTTAAAAAGTTTCACCCAGTACTAATGTCTTCCCAAACGATCTCTCATGAACAGCCTTGCAAACTGAGGGCTACGGTTTCCATCTCGTGCCAGGGCTTCCTCTTTTCCCGCCGCCTTCGACTTCTCCTTCTTCCCTCCTACCCGATCCCACTGTGATGCCGGTCAGACTGAGACCGGGTGACAGGAGCTGGGAGACATATCATCTGCCAAACTCAGAAAACAAACCAACCAAAAAGGCGGCGTCTGAGCACGGCTGCGTTTAAGGGCCGGCGGGTTGCTCCTTGCGACCGAGAAGCGTTCTGGTGTTAATAAATGTGAACGTCTCCATTCGCCCACGCAAAGAAATGAAAGGAAGAAGAGCAGACCCGGGTGCCTGAGAAGAGGAGAAACCAAACACGCCTGAGGCAAGGAGGAGACAGCGCAATACATGGCAATGAAAACTGAAAAAGGTGGGAGACGGTGTGTTTGTGTGCGGGGGTGGGGGGGAGAATCAAAACAGAAGGGGAAAAACTAAGCCCTCTGTGCAATGTGGAAAGCATACATAAGAACACAAGAGAAGCCAATGTTGGATCAGGGCAAAGGCCCATCCGGTCCCACACTCTGTCACAGTGGCCAAAAATACCAGGTGCCATCAGGAGGTCCACCAGTGGGGCCAGGACACTGGAAGCCCTCCCACTCTTGCCCCCCCCCCCCAAGCACCACAAATACAGTGCATCACCTGCCCCAGCCTGAGAGTTCCTATCTATACCTTGTGGCTAATAGCCACTGATGGATCTCTGCTCCATATGTTTATCCAATTCCCTCTTGAAGCCGTCCAGGCTTGTAGCCACCACCACCTCCTGTGGCAGTGAATTCCGTGTGTTAATCACTCGTGGCTAATAGCCACTGATGGACCTCTGCTCCATATGTTTATCCAAAACTGGTCGCTACAAGGGCCAGGGCCTTTTCGGTGGCGGCCCCTGACTGGTGGAATGAGCTCCCGGAGGAGATCCGGGCCCTGCGGGATTTGATGCAGTTCCGCAGGGCCTACATCTAAATAAATATTGAAGCCATTGAATGACCACTGGGAATGCCTGGACATGGTCCGTCATCTTTTTTTGGGTTTTTTGAAACGGAAGATCATTGAGCACCTTCATTGTAATTGTATTGGATTGGTTTTAAATTGTATAATATGTTTTAATTATCGGAATAGTATGTTTTTATTTGCAAGATTTCTTGCCCTGTAAGCCGCCCTGAGCCCTACGGGGGAGGGCGGGATATAAATCTGATAAATAAATAAATAAATAAATAAGTTTATCCAATTCCCTCTTGAAGCCGTCCAGGCTTGTAGCCGCCACCACCTCCTGTGGCAGTGAATTCCATGTGTTAATCACTCTTTGGGTGAAGAAGTACTTCCTTTTATCTGTTCTAACCCGACTGCTCAGCAATTTCATGGAGTGCCCACAAGTTCTTGTATTGTGAGAAAGGGAGAAAAGGACTTCTTTCTCTGCCTGCTC